GGTCCCATCACCTCATGGGAAATAGATGGGGAGACAGTAGAAAACAGTGGCAGACTTTATTTTGGGGGGCTCCAAAATCACTGCAGATGGTAACTGCAGCCATGAAATTAAAAGACGCTTACTCCTTAGAAGGAAAGTTATGACCAACCTAGATAGCATATTAAAAAGCAGAGACATTACTTTGACAACAAAGGTCCATCTGGTCAAGGCTGTGGTTTTTCCAGTGGTCATGTATGAATGTGAGAGTTGGACTGTGAAGAAAGCTGAGCGCCGAAAAATCAATGCTTTTGAACTGTGGTGTTGGAGAAGACTCTTGAGAGTCCCTTGGACTGCAAGGAAATCCAACCAGTCCATCCTAAAGGAGATCAGTCCTGGGTGTTCATTGGAAGGACTGATGCTGAAGCTGAAACTCCAGTACTTTAGCCACCTCATGTGAAGAGTTGACTCATTGGAAAAGACCCTGATGCTGGGAGGGATTGGGGGCAGGAGGAGAAGGGGACGACAGAGGATGAGAGGGCTGGATGGCATCACCGACTCGATGGACATGAGTTTGAGTAAACTCCGGGAGTTTGTGATGGACAGGGAGGCCTGGCGTGCTGCGATTCATGGGGTCGCAAAGAGTCGGACACGACTGAGGGACTGAACTGAACTGAACTGTAGTTAGCATTTATTGTTATCCTATTCAGCCTTTGTTGTGTAACACTGAAGCTTCAAGAGAGTTGAGAATCATCGGGGTTTTGATTTCATTTCTGCCATCTATATGATTTTGGGCAAATCATTTCACTTCTTTAAGCTTAGGCATCCTTACTAGTATTCTAATGTATAAATAAGGATAGAGATGATATTATCCAGCTTGCTTACTTTAGGGCAGAGTTATGAGAATAAACAAGGAGTACAGGATTAAAAAAAAAAACAACCTCTTGACATATAACTTTAGAAATGTATTTTATTTAAAAATTTCGTCCTTTCCAAATTTCTTTCCATTTTTATATGCCTTTCTTCTAAAAGTCTTATTCTACTATAGACTAAAGAAGATATGCTCCTTTTGCATCCAGTTCCCTATAAACTGAATTTCTTATTTCAATAATAAACTCACACATTAAAAAATGGTGAACACAGGACTTCCCTGGTGGGCCAATGGTTGAGACTCCGCTCACCGATGCAGGGAACATGGATTTGATCGCTGGTCTGGGAATAGCCCACATGCGGCAGAGCAACTAAACTGTGCGCCACGACAACTGCAGTGCACCTAAGCCCACGCTCTGCACCGAGAGAAGCCGCCACAGTGAGAAATCCGCACACCTCAACTAGAGGGCAGCTCCTGCTGCGACAACTAGAGAAAGGCTGCATGCAGCAGGGAAGACCCAGTTCAATCAAAAAGGAAAAAAAATGTAAAGAGCTTTGTTGATATAACTAAGTCTAGGGATGGGGGAGTAAAGAATACCGGAAATAAAGCAGAGAAGAATTTCCCTCTCTCCTTTCTTATCCATGCTCCCATAACTTATCAGCTACCAGTCCTTAAGTTTGAGAGCAGGGAGAAGACCGAGAACTGGAGCATGAAATGAAAGGTTTAATATGAGAAGTGCTACTTTAGGAGACTCCTAGGAATGGGTTTGATTCTTTATGTGTAGTTTCACTTATACCAGGTATAAAAGCACTGTGACTCAGTGTTTTATGCAACAAGCTGGAAACTCAGGACCTGTGGCTTCTGGTCATGTACCTGACATTTATTTTTCACATGAGCTACTCAGGTTCACTCCCATGTTTTATTCAGTTTTTCATCTATTAATGAATCAGAGATGCCAAATAACTTTGCAGGTAATAGAAATAAACCAGAACTCACATAGAGCTACAACTATGAAAGCTATAACAAGGGCAGTTTTTATGAGAATAGATGTAACAATACGACAAAGTTTAAATTTCTATATAGATATAAAGCATTACTTCCACCTGACTAGGAGGGGAAGGAACACTATGAATATGAAAGATATATAATCCTGAACTCTCTTTCAGATTATTAGTTTAAAACTCCCACTAAAATCTTCACAAAAGTACTAAGGAAGATCTTTTAAAACATTATTTGGCTTTCTTCTCACCCCTCACATATTCACCCACAGTGAAGGTTACTATTGAGTAGGGGAAGAACCAAAGAAGAAAGGTTGGGGCAAAAAAGTAAAAGATCTGGAAATCATTAAATCTTTCTTTCAGTTCAGTTCAGTCGCTCAGTTGTGTTCAAACTCTTTGCGACCTCACGAACTGCAGCACGCCAGGCTTCCCTGTCCATCACCAACTCCCAGAGCTTACTCAAATTTATATCCATCCAGTCAGTGATGCCCTCCAATCATCTCACCCTCTGTTGTTCCCCTCTTTGTTTAACCAGTTCTTATTTTGTGTTTTCTATAAGTAAGTATAAGGTGTAGTACACTAATTCTGAAACACATCGTGTTAAGACAGCACCAGCTAGCATTTCTAGAAGATGAAACTAAGGCTTAAAGTCAAGGTTAAGTGATTTTCCCTGAGTTAAGAAATGTAATGGGTTTTTGAATCTTCATCTCTCTCATTTCAGAGCCCATGATCTTTATTACTGCCCTACTGTATTTCAGGAAAAGCAGAATTGACCACTGGAATAAATGTTAACAGAACCTGCCTTAGAAAGTACAAGGAAATAAAGTTGTCCCAGAGATTCTCCCCATCTCTCCCATGGCCACATGTGTGTAAGGTGACATCTTTACCTATTTCTGTATGCTTACTTAATGCTCCTTTCTTGACTAACCGGATTCTCCACACTTCCTACTCTTCTCACAGGGTTTGTCAAATCCCTAATTCTACCCCAGGGCATTCAGCTTCTGCCCTTGAGCTTAATGACTTACTCTCTCTAGGTTTTAAGTTCCAGTTCTTAACAGTGAGAACTGACACTCCCAGATCACATTCCTACATCAGGTCAAGGCTGCTGGCCAGTCAACATGGGTTGGTTAACCTGGGTCAAGCACCCAAATCCTTGGCTGTGAATGGGTAGAGCAGTCACATTCCTTAGGAACTGTGGTATAAGTAGGTGGATATTCTGAAACAGCCTGTGCCATTTTAAAACATCACCCAGACAAGATGTGCTTCCTCCTTTTTTGTGTGTTTCTATTAAAGATATTGCCATTCTTCCTATTGCCTAGACTGAAAGTCTAAACATTTTTTAATTAAATAGATTTAACTTTGTTTGAAAAGTAATGCACACACATCCTAAAATACTCAGAATATAACAGAGTATGCTCATTGGAAGTTGTATCCTTTCTACCAAAGATTTTCAAGGTCCTCCTAGAGGCAATCACAGCTAACAGTTTTTGAAGTATATTTCAGAAAAATTCTATGCATGTTCAAGCATTTTATTCATATTTTATCCAAATTCCATTTTACATAAATAGAATAACATGAACGCAATGTGTGCCAAGCTTTTCTCACTTAATAAGCAGATTCTGAAACCTATTTGACCTCAACACAGACTATTTTTTTCATTTTTTAATGGCTTCATAGAACTTAAATATGCCATTTTTTTAAAACCAGTGCCCTTTTGATAGGCAGGTACACTGTTTTCACTCTTGCCATTACAAATAAGCCTGTATAAAGTACATATGCTTGTACACAGCTCTAAATATTATCAATAAATTTTTCAGTCAAAGTATGCATGACATTTTCATTTTGACACATTTATGGGTTTGATCCTTGAGTTGTAAAGATCCCCTGGAGAAGTAAACGGCAACCCACTCCAGCATTCTTGCTTGGAGAATCCCATGGACAGAGGAGCCTGGTGGGCTACAGTCCAAGGGGTTGCAAAGAGTAGGACATGAGTGAGTGACTAACACACTCACACACATGGCCAAATTGGGCATCTCTGGTTGTTCAGATGGGAAAGAATCTGCCTGCAAGATGAAAGACCTGGGTTTGACCCCTGGGTTGGGAAGACCCCCTGAAGAAAGGAATGGCAACCTATTCCAGTATTCTTGCCTGGAGAATTCCATGGACAGAGGTGTCTCACAGGCTACAGTTAATGGGGTATGGGGCTGCAAAGAGACCAATGAGCAACTAACACACACACACACACACACACACACAAGGGCAAACTGCTTCCAAAGATGGTGTGCCAGTTTCTCACACCATCTGTGCAAAAGTCTCTATTTGTCCATACCATGCACAGCCTCGTGTTCTGTCAAACTTTCTGATCTCTTCTAATCTGGTAATTTTAGTTATTTTAAAATTTCACCTTCTTTTTTGCCCACTAAATCAGTCACTGAGTTCTGTGAGTTCTTTCATTCTCTCTCACCTCCTTCTGAGTCTCTGTAATTGCAGTGCTATGATCTTAGTTTCAGCTTTTGTTGTGTCATGTATTGCCTCCCAAAAGTGTTCATTCCATTCTCTCCCCTTATTACCTCACAACTTAATCATACACGGCCAGAAAGACCTGAAATCCATAAGGGTACTTTAGCTTTCCCTAACCTACATGAGATGCCAAAGGTAGCTGCTGAGATCTGGAGACACTCGTGTTGCGAGAGAGAGAGAGAAACTTGTAATAAGAAAAATTAAAAACAAAAACAAAAAAGCCCCAGCAAAACCATCAGCCAAAATAGGGCTGGATAACTCAAACAAGTTAACACTTTCCACCCCACTGTCACTAGACTGATATAGTTTGTCCAGCATATAATCTTTATCAATCTGATTTGCACATTCTTCTGACATATCAAAAGTAGAGGCAGTCCTGATCATCTGCCCATTTCTCTGCTCACAGTCTAATTTCTTGCCTAGTTCTAGGGGAAAAGGGTACCCTATAGTGAGCTATACTGGTGGATGAGCGAATCCAGATCTTAATCTTTCCTCATATCCAGTGAGTCTCAATAATCTGATTAAAATACTCCAGATCCTTGTTTGAAAAGCTCACCTAAGAAATTAAACTATTCCTCTAAGGGGACTCTTTTTTTAAATATAAGACAAAACTGTATCTTTTTATATGCACATACCTGTATACAAATGCACAGGAAGACATTTGGAAGGACACATCTGGAAGTGGTTCTTTCTGAGAAGAAGAGTAGATTGGTATGTATCAGTTGTATTATTTTAAAAAGAAATATTTTTCTTTAAAACAAATAGGAAATTGGATCTTGCTACTCACACCTGTTTTCTTCAAGTTTATTATTAAATTCCACGGTGCTTCTAAACATTCATCTGGAAAATGGGGCTTGCTACTGATATTTATTTTAACCGAATTGCCTAACCAATCTTATCTGGAAAAAGCGTTGTTTGTGGATATAGTGAAAAAAAGAAAGTGACCTAGAGAAGTTCATGGATCAGGTCTTTCACTTCAGTCACATTATCACGTTTACGCTCCTTAGTGAGAGGTAACATGGTGCGGGTGAGATAAAAAGGATCTGAGTTCTAGCTTGGGCTCCGCTAAGAATATACTGGGGGAAAATGAGCAAACACTTTCATTGTAAAATGGTGAATGAGACTAGGACAGACTTCTTTGATTACTAGAAGACTTACAAAGATGCATTCTATGGTGAAAAATCTATTATTCAGTTCTGAGTTGCTCCAATCTAAAGGCAAGAAGACAAATTCTCTCCAATTCAGCAAACATGTGTGGTATGTATTAGGACACATTGTGAATCTCAGGCGCTCATTCACCAGGTTTTAGACTGATCTGCAAAAAAAGCAAAAAAGTCCTCTCACTGAAGAAGAGCTTCGTTTCTCTTGGCCGTAGCCATTGCCCAAAGTGCCAAGATCTAATTGCCGTCAACATTAAGATGAAGACGTACCTGCTGCGAACGTGAAGACACTACAGTTCCCAGCATGCCTCTCTTCCCACCGCCGCCCTCTCCCGCCCCTACTCCTGGACTCTAGCCGGCCGGGACTTGCAGTCCCAGCCCACAGCTGGCGGCGGCGCGCACGCAGTCTAGAAATGTGATTTTTCCACAAAAAGGCGGTAAGACGGCCGTTTCCAACTCAAGTCCTACTCCAACTGACTAGGGTCTGCCCGGCGGAGTCGAATTTCCTCCAACCACCTCTCTTAAGACCTGCAAACTGCTGCGGCGGAACCACGCCCCGGAAATGAGGTCAAGTCTCCCAGCTGACGGCTGAAGCGCCTTCCAGCCACTCCTAGCCGGGCTAGGACCGGCGGGGCGGGCTTGGGGGCGTGGCAAGCGGGCGCGGCTCAGCTCGGTGTAGCCCCGGGGATCTAGCCGCTGCGCGGGGCCGCGCGTCTGGGTGGCGGCGGGGGCGCGCCCGTGGAGAGTGGCGGCTGCGGTTGCTAGTCGGGAGGGAGGGAAGGAGGAACCGGGAAGGGGTTGGGGGGGGGGCAGGGCGATCGGAGAGCCGTGTTCCTAAGGCGGTGGCTGCGTCTCCGACGGAGCAGGAGCAGGGCGGGGAAGGAGGATGGAGCAAGCTGGGGGTTGGGGTTGGCGCTAGCCGCTGCGGCTCGGCTACTACTGTGTGAGAGTGGCTGCTCCTGGAAGTTGTAGGATCGGGAGCCGGGCTGGTGCCGCCGGTGCCGCCGGTGCCGCCGCTGCCTTGGGCGGTAGGGAGGAGCAGGGAGCGTCAGGGGTCGGGAAAGACGGGACGGGTAGGGGGGGCGAGCTGGGGAAGACTGAGCGGGCTCTGCGCCGGGCGGGCGGGCGGCGGGGGGGCCAGAGACCGCAGCCGGGGGGACGCGGGAGGATGGAGCAAGTGGAGATCCTGAGGAAATTCATCCAGAGGGTCCAGGCCATGAAGAGTCCGGACCACAATGGGGAGGACAACTTCGCCCGGGACTTCATGGTGAGTCCCTCCCCTTGCTGTTGCCTCCTCTCACCGGCATCCGAGCCTACTGCCGCCTCGCCCGCCCGGCCCGGCCGCCAGCGCTTTGTGTGCGGCTGTAAGGAGACGGGCGGAGGGGGCGCGCGCCAACCCCAAGGGCCCGGGTGGATTCGGAGGCTGGGAGGTGAGATCGCCCCTCGTCCTCCTTTCCTCTCGTCCTGCGATCGCGGCCCCTTCCACCCGCGTCTGGACGCGAAGAGAGAGGCCGCTGGCTAAGCCCGCACTCAGCGCCGCCGCCCGCGACCACCTATTGTTTCTCGGGCTGGGAGCGGGAGGCGAATGAGGTGCAGGCCGGTGGGCTCTTCTCTTCTCCCCATCCAGTCTGCTCCTCCTGGGAGGGTCGAGGCAGGAAGGAGAGCGGATAGCGCCGGACTGAGGAACGGGGCTACTAAGGTTGCATTTAACTCGTGGGGTCCCTTTGCTCAATCTGGTCTCAAAAGAGGGCAGGGTAGGACTTTTTGCTCTTTCTGGGTTCGCAGTATTATCTCCAGTGCTAGAAAAAGGATAGTCCATAGGAAATCTCGTGGTATGTTCGATTTCCATTTACTGCCGTCCTGTCTCTTGTCTCTTGAGACCCAGGTTTTAGATGGTGTAGGGGGTCAACGTGATTTGAGGTTGAGGGGTAAGTGTGTGTAGAGGCAGGGCGTGGGGGTGGAGGGTGCGTGGTTATCCTGAAGGAAGCCTACTTCAGACTCCCTAGGGGATACTGCCGAAGGCGGAGGGGATGTGACTATCACTTCCTATCCGGGGTGGGGGTGGGGAACTTGGGAACAATAGTCCTGGTGGGGCGGAGGCGACTGTACGGGCTGAAGCCCTGAACTGGGAGATAACCTTCGTAGTCTCCCCACCCCCCTTCCGACATCCCCCTCCCCCTTCCGCCCTTTGCTTGTACTGGCGGGCTGGAGAGGAGGTTAAAAGTCTTGGTCGTGGAATTGCTCTCGAGCCATCACTACGAGGGGGTCAGATCCGAAGGCGTGGGACCAGAAGTCGACTTCCTCCGTTGCCACCCCCCCTCCTTTATTTTTCTGCTGGACAATGTTCCCTTTAGGGTTGTTTCTCGGCTTAGGAGGCGGTGGTTGCGGCGCTGCTCCTACGGATATTGCGCAAGACTGGGGCGTTGGAAACCCTGGAGGTCTGGGGAATGGAAAAGGAAGTGGGACTTTGGGAAGTGGTTGCTCCTTAGTCTTGGCGGTGTTTGGAAATGGGAAATAAGCTAGGGAAAATTTTGCTTCTGGGCAAGATTCACCTTCAGGAGTAGTCACCTAACTCTGAAATTCTGGATTGTGAAAAGGATACACAGTTAATGTGTATAAAAATGAGTCGCAAACATTGGTAGTTTTTGTTTCAAAGTACAGTTTAATTGTTTACAAGGTACAGGTGAAATGACTTTTCGCACTGAAATACGAAACACTTTTCACATTTTAAAGAGACTTCGGTCTAGTAAAACTTTAGCGTTAAAATTCTTAACCCTTAACTTTACTCAGTGTCATAACAGTTGAGCTTTGTGATTCTCGCCTCCCTAAACCAATAATAGAAGATAGGAGTTTGGTTTTGTTAGTATCTTTTGAAAGTGTGAAAAATGTTGATTAAATAATTTATGGTTTATTTTAAACATTTCCTCTTGGTACTTGGCCCATGTACTACCCCCCCCCCCCCAATTACCCTTTTAACTGAAAAAGACGTTTCCTTCTTCCTATTGGGAATTTTGCATGTGTTAGGTATCTTTGAAATGATATCACAGTAATTGGACAGAGTTCCCCTTTTATTACTTTCTAGCAAACATAAAATAAAATATTTACTTAGATTTAAAATGTTTAAAACTAGTTTTATACAGTCTTACTTTGGTTGTGGAAGGAGAGGTGTGTGAGCCCTGTCCACTTGGCGTGTTGGTCCTCTTGTTCTCTATGGGCATATCCTGTCAGGAAAGGGCATTGTTTGGTGATGCAGGCCATCAGGACAAGTGCCCAGTCTCTGAACTCCTGTACAGGGGAAGTAGCCTTCGGGTTCATGCTTTGGGGATGAGTCAGGGATTCCTATTAGAGATTTCATTTCTCCAGGACTAAATGAGTTTCCTTTTTCTTCCCTAATACCTAGGGATAGCTAGGTGATTCTGCATTTAAGATTTGATGACTAAGGCTGTTCTTTTACAGTGCTTGCTTTTTTTATTCTGTGACTTGATAAGCAATAGCTATAATTAAGTCTGCTAGTTAATGCCTCTTTTTCTCTTGACTAGAAAGCTGGAGGAAAACTTTGTCCCTTCTGCCACAAAAAGAAAATATATAGGCTAATAGATTCTTCTAATAATAAGTTCTTCTGTTATTCTTAAATTCTGACATGGGTTAAAAATTCATTTTTAAATTTTTAGCATTTGAGAACTGAGCCTTAGGGAGAATCTAGCTGTTATCACCCTATTCAGTTATAAAGTGATAATGTTCATTGTTTCAAATTTGGAAATTCTAGAACAGTAATTAAGAATGCCTTACTTTTAGGCAAGTGGAATAGGCATTCATACTGTGGTCTTTCCATTATTCTGTTCAGTCTTCTTATAGTCCCATCACCCAGAGGCTATCTTTGTTAATGTCTTTATTGCTTCTCTGTGACCATACTACATGTGCCATTTAATATTCTTAGGGTTTTTTCCAACTTATTTTAGGTGTTTTTCCTTTGTAAAAATAATTTTAGGTGGCTATACAATATTTCACCTAGCCACTGTCATATAGCTTAATCATTTTCTTATAGTTGAAAGCTTAGGCCGCTGATTTTCTGCTATTGTGTGTCATAATTCTGTGGAGAACTTGAGCAGAGAATTTCTTTATTTTGAATTATTGCATATCTTCCAGTGGTGTTGGAAGTACTAGATAAAAGGATGTAAATATCTTATATATGTAAATGCATAACTTTTTGAAGTTGCATCACTTTTTACAACTAACGGTAACATACGAGTGTTCATATAATAATCTTGGATCTTTGATAATTTGAGGTTGAAAAATAGTGTTGTTTTAATTTGAATATCTCAATGACTAGTAAAGGTAGAGACTTTTCTGCCTGTCATTATTCTGTGAGTTGTCTATTCCTGGCATTGGCCTTTTGTGTGCCCCATCCTGTGAAAGAGGAGAATACTAAGGTATTGAGATGGTGTAAACTATAGCACCAAAATGATTTCAGGTTGATGGTTAAACCGATAATCTGTGTCAGATCTAGAACTTGATCACAACTATCTCAACTTGTCGTCTTTATGAAATTGCAGATAGTGATCATGAGAAGTAAATATGTACATAGGGTGATGCCCATTTATGTTTGACATGTGTGGGTTTTACTACCATCTCTGCCATTGTTTAGTTTTCTGACCTTGGCCACTTGCAAGAAAATGAATTGACCGAGTTCTCTCAACTTTAAAAGAAGATAAATGCTGCCTACTTCACAAGACTGAAATATGGGACTGATATTTAGGATCTTCATCTAACGAACGATTGTGCTGTCTTCAGTATTCTCAAATGGCTGACTTATGTAGTCAGTTACATATAACTAGAGATAGAAGAATAAAGAAAATAAGATAGAAGGAGAAAGATGTCTGGGCTTTTGTTTTTCAGTAATTTTCTTCTGCTTTTTAAAGCTTTGTCATGTATAATTAAAGTATTGAAACAAGAAGTAAATTTATTATAATCAGGCTAAAGTTTATGTGATATACACTAGAATATTTAAAAATTGTAAAAGATGGCAGTAAAGCTGCAAATCAGTTATGGCAGTTTCAGTTTAAAAACCCATTCTCGTTGTACTTATGAAGATAAAAACAATACTTTAGTAAGTAGAGCCAGTGGAGTATTTCAAAAACAGGATGCAGCAGAGGTGTGAATTACAGTACTTTTGTGAAACATGAAGGAGAAGATTTATGGATTTTTTTTTAAGGCTAAACAGGCATTATAGCAAGCATTCCTCAGTTAAAATGCCATTTAGACTAACTGATATTTTAATCTAAATTTATCAATCACAGGTCACTGCAGAAGTACCTTAGTAGTTATGCATTCAAGGAATTTATTATATAAAACCATCTGCTCTACGAATAGTAATCTTGACAGAACTGCTCAAAGCAACCAATTTGCTTGCTTTGTTATGATTAAATAATTGTTATATTGTTTTTATCTTACTACAGTAGTGTTTGTGATGTTATAAATTAAGTAGAAAGAAGATTAACATTTTTTATCCCTTCTATTTGTTAAACACTGTGCCATATATTTTACACTG